CTTTCTTGTTCTGGAATCAGGTCTCTGTAAAGTGCGTTTAGGAAGGCCAGGAGAAGTTGGGTATTACAGGGCCCAATGTGTGGAATGTGTGCTCGCACCATTCTCTGAAATGGCAGCACATATTGTAATATTGGCCCCACGTTGGCCTGGTGTATGTTGTGGCTCGGTGTCCAATGAGATTGCAACCACGTCTCCGGCCTTTGGACAGATTGAAGCCGGCCTAGTCCACAAAAACAAGAATGTGGGTCATTTCATGTCCTTCTAACTCCATGATTCTCTACGAAGAAACACAGAAACAAAATAAAGTTAATTTTTATTCTAGAGTTCAGTAAATGTTTTCTCTTCTTACGGGTTTCTAAAACTTCAAGTAATACAGGCATCTTAGAAGTACAGTAAAACTCACTAAGTGCACACCAATAGTTTACCTGGACATACTGGTACCGCAGCTCCTTCACTCTTCCTCTCAAAGGGCACCTTGTAGAGTTGTTTCATAGTCATTTGATGTCTTTTCAAAACTGTCTATAGTGGAAATGCTGACAGAATTTATATTTGCGAAGACATTGTCATTTGTGATTGCACTTTGGATCTCTTAGCCTGATGGAATTGTTGGCTATGACCATGTTGCAAATTTCTTGTTCTTGCTGATGGTTAAATACTGCTGCTCTGCCACCAGCGCGAGGTTGTGCGGTTCTATAGAATGTACAAATAGACTTGCATTTACCTTTACAATATTGTTGTTTATAAAAATGCTTTACATACTGTAAAAACAAAAAATACATTTACCTGTTTTCCCTATGAAAGGTTTGCACAATTGATGACACTGTCCAGTTGGTGGCGGTAAATGCACCAAAAGTTGGTTTGCCATCCACCATAAAATGTTATTAGAAGAAGAAGAAGAAGAAGAAGCCGGCACATTTGTGCAAACATTTTGGTCGAAACGGCGAGCGCGCGGAACGAAACAGCAGGCAGGATGAGCAAAGTCCAGGGCGGCATGAAATGTGTCAAATATCTGCTGTTCGTCTTCAACTTCATATTCTGGGTAAGTGCGGAAAATACTGATGATGTCACACATACATGCTTTGATTTAGAATGAAATGCAATATATATATATATATATATAGTATATATATATATATATATATATATATATATATATATATATATATATATAT